GTCTACACTATGTTGTTTATTCTATTACGTGTCTACACTATGTTTTTTATTCTATTACGTGTCTGCACTAAGTTGTTTATTCTATTACGTATCTACACTATGTTGTTTATTCTATTTCGTGTCTACACTATGTTGTTTATTCTATTACGTATCTGCACTATGTTGTTTATTCTATTAAGTGTTTACACTATGTTGTTTATTCTATTACGTATCTACACTATGTTGTTTATTCTATTAAGTGTTTACACAAGGTGGTATATTTTATTACGTGTCTACACTATGTTGTTTATGATATTTCGTGTCTACACTAAGTTGTTTATTCTATTACGTATCTGCACTATGTTGTTTATTCTATTAAGTGTTTACACAAGGTGAAATATTTTATTACGTGTCTACACTATGTTGTTTCTTTTATAACGTATCTACACTATGGTGTTTATTCCATTACGTGTCTACACAAGGTGGTATATTGTATTACGTGTCTAAACTATGTTATTTATTCTATTAAGTGTTTACACAAGATGGTATATTGTATTACGTATCTACACTCTGGTGTTTATTCTATTACGTGTCTACACAAGATGGTATATTGTATAACGTGTATACACTATGTCGTTTATTCTATTAAGTGTTTACACAAGATGGTATATTGTATTACGTATCTACACTCTGGTGTTTATTCTATTACGTGTCTACACAAGATGGTATATTGTATAACGTGTATACACTATGCTGTTTATTCTATTAAGTGTTTACACAAGGTGGTATATTGTATTACGTGTCTAAACTATGTTGTTTATTCTATTAAGTGTTTACACAAGATGGTATATTGTATTACGTATCTACAGTATGGTGTTTATTCTATTACGTGTCTACACAAGATGGTATATTGTATAACGTGTATACACTATGTCGTTTATTCTATTAAGTGTTTACACAAGGTGGTATATTGTCCTACGTGTCTACACTGTTGTTTATTCTATTACGTATCTACACTATGTTGTTTATTCTGTTACGTGTTTCTATTACGTGTCTACACTATGTTGTTTATGATATTTCGTGTCTACTCTAAGTTGTTTATTCTATTACGTATCTGCGCTATGTTGTTTATTCTATTAAGTGTTTACACAAGGTGGTATATTCTAGTACGTGCCTACACTATGTTGTTTATTCTATTACGTATCTACACTATGTTGTTTATTCTGTTACGTGTTTCTATTACGTGTCTACACTATGTTGTTTATTCTATTACGTTTCTACACTATGTTGTTTATTCTGTTACGTGTTTCTATTACGTGTCTACACTAGGTTGTATACCCTTTTTTGTGTTTACACCATTTTGAATATTCTTTTCTTTGTCTACACTGTGTTATTTATTCTATTACGTATCTACACTATGTTTTTATTTTTATTTTATTACGTATTTACACTATGTTGTAAATTCTATTACGTGTCTTCACTATGTTGTTTATTCTATTACGTGTTAACTCAAGGTTTTAAACTCTATTTTGTGTTTACACTATTTTGTATATTCTTTTACGTGTCTACACAAGGTTGTGTATTCTATTTAGCTTTACACTTGGTTGTGTATTTTACTATGTCTTTACCCAAGGTGGTATATTCTATTACGTATTTACACGAGATTGTACATTTTATAACGCGTTCACTTTGGGTTGTATACTATTTACGTAATTACACTTGGTTGTATATTCTATTACATTTACACTAGTTTAAACTGGGTTGGATATTTTTTACGTGATAACACTAGGTCGTATTTTCTATTACATGTTTCTACTAGGCTGTGTTCTCTTTGACGTGTTAACATCAAGATATATATTCAATAACGTTACGTATTTACATTAGTTGCATATTGTTTTACCTGTTTACACCAGGTTTTATATTATATTACGTGTTACTCTAGTTTACACTAGGTTGTTCAAAATATCACGTGCTTACACAAGGTTGTATATTCTATTACGTGTTTACACGGAGTTGTATATTTCATTACAGATTGCCCACCACACTCGATGTTTGTGCTACCATATGATATATGTTTCTGGACAACAACTTCCCGAAAAACTGCCATTGAGGGTTACAATGAATGTATGGCGGACGGTGGTGGTCTGGCTGTTATTCCCAACGGTGTTGTTTATAGCGAACTGAATACAACATTTAAACATCAAATTGTGTAATGAAATGTCAATTCCTTACAGAAACCTAATGTCGATAAATATTAGACTTTTATTTCTTGCTATTAAAAATGTATATACAGCTACATGGACATAGATCTATTGTAATAACAACTGATAATATATGCTTTCTCTAAATAATATGATACTCTGGCATTGAATGTGACGTTTAGTTGTTTATCACAACACATCAAGGATCCCTGTCGCACTTCAATTTGGGTTTTAGTATATACTGTAATCTCCCCTTAATTTCCATTTTTATATATATATAGCACATTTGAGCCTGGACACATAGGTTGACAACCTGTCCAATCGGTCGTATGGTAATCTGAAGTCCAGGGTTCGAATCCTGAACAGGCCAGTTATTTATTTTTTTTATACTCAGAACATTGATGTTGATTATGTTTTATTTCATCTTACTCCTATGTTCCTACATGTCTGACACACTTTTTAAAATTGTTTCTTCTATATGTTATAAAATAACCAAATGATATACTACCACCGATAATACACATCAATAGTTCGTGCTATCAAGCTACGTCTTTACCGTGTAATAAATGTGTGCCCAACACATTTTATTTACTTCTCACTGTACATTATTACTATTATGCTGTAGTAACATTTTTGTTTATTTTGGTTTCTAATCTTAGAACTGCACATTCAACCGTTGGAAACTCCAATGATCTGTGGGTTGGAGTTACTGACGTGTGTACAGAAAATGATTTCATCACGTTTGAAGGGGGCACAGTTCCTTATTTCCCCTGGCAAACTGATCAGCCCAATGACCCAGGTGAACCAAATCCTCAAAACTGTGTAATAATGAGAATTGCCGACAACCTTTACTGGCATGATAAGGACTGTGACGAACAAAGAATATCACTTTGCTCGAAATCACTGAGTAAGTAAGCTACGGGTGTATTGTTTATGATAACCTCACACTAACGCTAAACTAGATAATTCAGTTGATTACGATATGATAGATAAATTCTGTGTTCACTCTCCCGAGATGTTTTAAAATACCATTTCCAGTTCGTTCAGTCCAGTCGGACTACTGGAATGTAATTATCACGGGAAACTGGTAATAAATGGGAGTCGTAAGTATTTAATAACATTATGGGTATTTTCCTATAGTCATTGGTTGTCTCATTTTGGAAGATTTCTTTTTTGTGTATGTGTGGATGATACTAATGTCTGCGTTAAGTTTGAATATAACGAAAGTCTGTGCATTTTAATGAGGTCACGGTCCACATATCATTCACTAAGTTATTCATACATTTATTTGTTATTATTATTCTATTGAATGATTATCGCTGTCGTACTAATTTACTTTTTTTTCATCCAAATTTGGTCTATGGTTGTAGGATGTTAATATTAAGGTCAAGGATATTAAATGTTAAAGGATGATATAAAATGATTTACCTGCTGTTTCATATGGCATGCTTTACATCTCACTTTTGGATGTTGAGCGTTCGCCAAGGTGAGGAAGGCAATGGGTTTTGTCCCCATGCCGAGACATACCAAGTCCTTAAAAATGGAAGTTATTATTCCCTGCGTTAAGTTCAGCTTTAAGGGGAATGGCAACAACTGGTTCATCCGTTGTCAGTATAATGTGACCGGGCGGAATGCTGTGCTTGGTGCATTCGGCATGGTGTTTCAGTGAGATAGCACTATAAAGTCGGCATCATATCCGCACTATCACAAGTAGGCAAGCACACCAACATACCCTGTCTCTTGCACACACAAACGCAAGCACGCATACAATACACTCATGGAGGCACGTCCTTAAATGACCTTAGCTGTTAATAGGACGTTAAACAAAATTAAACCAAATCAAACTAAACCAATGGGGACCCCCCTTTCCAGAATAAACAATCCTCTCTGTGCTTCTCTCGGGAAAGAGACGATACCATCATTGATATGCTGCGCCATTTGCAACCCTTTGGGACTTTTTATCTCTTACTTACTCTTTCTTTCGGCGATGTCTGCTCAAAAACTGTGGTTAGCATGCTTTCTAAATGTTGTGACTAATTTTGGTGTTAGGCAACCGTGTACAGACAGGGAAAACTAACTCTCAATTATGTTCTAATCAGTACAAAATCTATTTATTAACCACAAGATAGGATTCATATTGATTGCCTTTAAAACAAAATGTCAATCACCATTTTTCCGAGCTGTGTTCGTCATGTCAAATAAGTACAACATGATGAAATAATAACAGTGAATTATTTTGGATACTTTTCAGATGACACGACGCTACCAACATTAAATTTGCCTTGTTTGACAACGACCGCAGTCATGCCGACAACGGGACAGGGTACGTCGCCTTGTTGTTTTTCACCTGTAGGCTCAGAGAAAAAAAACTGCATTATTTTCATTGAATCCCTGGTTCATTTTGCCAAAAATACATTAATGAGTATGAAATACAGATTGCTTTCAAACGAAATAGTCTGTTTTATAGCAAAGCAGAACAATAATAAAGTTTTAATGCGATGACGCAATAACCTATGTTTTACTAATGTTTAATGTTCACCATAGTGTCTGTTGTTATCGGCAGCTGCCTCTTCACTCCAAACATAAGTATAAGCACGAGGATACTGTTAAGAGACATTTTTACTGCAATCTATTTTCTTTTATGTCCATTGGACCAAATTTGAACTATTTCGTTTCATTTTATCTGATGGAAAGAGTTCTTTTATTTTCTCACTAATTTCCCAGACTATTTTTTCGAGATATTGAAAGTATTTAGTCATGTATTTGCACAGTCCTTTGCAAATTCCCTGCATACATCTCCCCGAATGATACGGAAACCATCAACAAAATGACAGAACAAATAAAAAAGGAAATGTTGATCGATACGAAAAACACGTCAGGTAAGTATATCTTGATAATTATGCTACAACTATAATTCAATAGAGTAAAGCTATGTATAACATTCCCATTCGGAGGTTAAATACGAAGGAATTTTATTGATTTCAAATAAATGGTTTTTAGTTTCAAGGTTTCCAATATTTCATTCGATTTACTATGGTTTAGTCAATGTTCTTGTGATAATTCTTTTTTTTAAACGCAAAGTTCTGCTATGGGCAGTGGTTGTTTATGTTTATTATCATATAATTCATAATTCAAGCCGGTTTCCGCCAGAAATGTGAAAATCGTTATATATATATATATATTTGTAAAACATGCGACATTATTTTCAACTTAATACAAACATGTAAGAAATCCTAAGAGCCTATCATAAGAGTTAAACCGTTACTAGTTCCTTCAGAGATTAAAAATTACGTGAAAGGGTGTTCTGTTATATAAAAAAAAGTATTTCAACTCACTTCCTGTACATATTATACCGAGTCATACATATATGGCTTCTGGTCAACACTAATATTGCTGTGTATCATAAAACCACTTGTTGTTGACTATGACAAGTCTGTTTTGTTGCATTCTCTATATTTATTATAAAAGTGCGATGTATAAAATTAATTACATGGCTTTATAAATCAAAACTCCAGAACGTAAAAATCTGGCTTCCACTTACACCATGTATCACAACATAAGAAAGTTTGGTTAAAATGAGTCCAGAAAGACTGTTAAACAGGAAATATCCGTTGTGTATGGACATTCGTGGTTTACGTGGTTGCAATCACGAAAAAGAATACAACGAATTTGAATAAAAACTGGACTACTTTTTCTTTATATAGAGTCTCAACAAAACTTTACACCATTTAACGGTCTAAATAGCTACAAACCGTGAAGAAAAGTACGCTAGAATAGTTCCTGTTATACAGTTGAAAACGAATATGGAACAAATACATTTGATCAATAAGGTTTGAATGACCTTGACATTTGACGGTTTAGGCCAAAAAATGATAAGTGTCTACCTAGTTTTATTATTGACCCGCTGTATCCTATTATTAACACTAAAAAGCGACTTATATAGGATCATTGCAGAATAAAAGATTTTGTTTCTGAGCTTTTCCTTGGCAGAAGCGACTTATATGAGATCGTTAGCAGAATCAAAGATTTTCCTCTGAGCTTTTGTCTAGGCAGATCATTTGTAGTTCTCGTCTGTTTCCCATTTGACGTTAGTTACAGATGATGGTGCCACTACAATGACTTTCAAAGTGACATCTAAATAATAAAATACCACAATTCTGACATGGTACTGTGGTATCACCCCTGGTCTCAGTATTCTAACAATGGGCAATCTGGTGGTCTTTTGGGAGTCATCGTTGACAAGAAGGATAGGTGAGGTGGGAATTATATGTATTTGGGCGTCAAACACTAGAAGGGGGAGGCAGATCAGTCGCGGTCTTCTCTGAGTCCCCAAGACTAAGACACATTGGAAAATTATCACTCCCACTGAGTGTCTCATATCAAGTTGCCTCTTACGATCATGAATTGGGATACTTGCTCCTGGAAGGGGTGTTGCTCATGAAATCGTCGCCAGTTATCTCCGTTACATAAAATATGTGTACTTACTTATATGTAGCATAAACAAGCATTGTTTGGGGTAAGGACTTGCATCTTCCATGGATTTGCATTGAAGATCTATGGCCTGTGTTTTGTTTTGCTTTTTTCAGTGTATAGACGTTCCCTGGTTTGTGCTGATGATCCTAGGCCGTCCGCAACTTACATAGGAGTGACAGCAGCCGTAGTGTTAACCTTCATTGGCTGTCTCCTTATCTTCCCCGACATTGTGACGATCATCAAGTCACTAACATTGAAGCTGAGACCGAAACACTAGGAAAAAGACAAAATATTACCAACATCTAAAAAACATCATTACCCGAGTCCTGGTATTGTACCAATACAGTAGCAAAAACGACGACTAGACAGTATTATCTTGATAATTTACATTCACATACAAATGTATAATGCTTTTTTCAACCTTTTATATCTTCCTTTAGTAATTCATTCATTCATTCATTCATTCATTTCAATGTTTTCAATAAAAAATGTAAAATGTTTCCATTTGCATTAATCATTCTGTATATTAGACTAGAAAGTATTTCATTATGTAAATCTGAGCAACTTACAATTTATAGTGTAGAATCTGGTACACGATATGTGTAATAAAATTGTGAATAAAAATATAAACGTTGTGTTTTAATTGGTATAACGAAATGTATAAATCTAACAGAACACAATCTCGACAGAATTAGAACGGTGTTCAATTGGGCGATCCGCTTACTCTTTCGGTACATCTGGTATTACCATCCTTGTAAGTGAAGGGTCTCCTTGTAAATCTGTCCTTAGTTTTTATCTTTTTGCCATGGTTTCAGATATTTAGAGTTCGAAATACCACATTTTTACACTTAAGTATTCTGTTTTTCTATTGTATTTGTCGTTTGCTGCCAAAATTACAACCTACAACTTCTGTACGACTGATTTGATTATTGCAGTAATTACACACTTACTACAACAGTTACGTCTTACAAAATACGTGTATATCGTCTATATGTATGTAGGGGAAAATATTTAGCAGCTCTAAAATCTTAAACAATACTGATACGTGTGACGCATGTTTTGTTTAAACTGACCAGTACACGATTACCAGATCAACAGGACACTAGATCCAAACACAATGTATATGTCACATCACAAAACACACTGGATAAATACGCCATGCAGTGGAGGTCGTCATGTTTTGTCTCTTGTCAGCAGAAGCAATAATTAAATAGTCTCATTTCATACATGGTAGAATTGTTTATGCATGTTTGGTAACTTACAACAATGTTGACCAAAAACAAATATTCGCTTTATACATTTTATGATTTTAATGTTATGTTACGATGAAAAGAAATATGAATAACATTGAGGACTCGTCTGATCTTGAGATGAATGTCACCTTGAAACTTTTTATACAGTGCATATCCTTTATAAATGATACACGTACAAGTAAGTTATCTCTTCCTTTTGGACAAAAGGGAGATTATCTTATTATCCTTTTGGTGTAAAAAAGAGATTATCTTATTATGCTTTTTGGTCTTTAAAGGGGACTATCTTAACATCCTTTTGGTCTAGAAGGGAGATAATCTTTTTATCCTTTTGGTCTTAAAGGGAGAGTATCTTATTATCCTGTTGGTTTTAAAGGGAGACTATCTTATAATCCTTTTGGTCTAAAATGGAGACTATCGTATTATCCTGTTGGTCTAAAAAGGAGATTATCTTATTACTGCTTTTCCTGTCTAAAATCGAATTTGTCCAGAGTATGATTTTTGCTTTAACTTCTTAAAAATATCGTGATTAGGTCTCGTTTTAGTTGTATATTCAGCATTTCTGTTGCCATTGATACACACATGACCTGGAATCGCACAAATCACATCATCAAAACTACTTATTCGTTAAAAAGAATAAATTACTTTTTGTTTTATATACTTTGTATAAATAGTTTGTTTTAAAGAAATGGAGAATTGCAATCGACTATGAGAATATGTTGTATTTATTAGTTTATAAATAAGCAATAAAGAAAATTTAAAAAAAAGCTTCTGATTCAGCAGAATGAAATTAAGGTGATTTCTGATAAACAGGATATCGATATTTATGTAACAGCATAAAATATTGATGCCTAACTTAGTTTTCATTGTATAAGTGTTCGATAGATTCCTAACCGAAAGATTCTTTTCGCATCCCTGTTGTTACGTGGAAACACTTTAAAACGTATGCTTTTTTGAAAGTTCGGCTACTATATATTTGATTTGCCATGAAGCAGTGATGCAGATATTTTAAATGTCCAAGAGGAATATAAGGAGGAATGTGATGCTGATGAAGGCAAGGTGATGTGTTCCGATAGAAGTGTAGCAATGTTTGCTGTTTTCGATTTCTTAAGCTCCGTAGGGCTATTTTTACCAACTGTCCTTTATAGAGCGACAGTCTAGTTCCATCACTGGCTTTTTGTGGCGTTTTTTTTTTTTTTATCTTTTCATTGATTACGTTAATTTACTATTCCAAATACTTTTATAAAAGCTTGGAGTTGTATCCCGTTCTTGTTTTTTTCGTGTCTACACCTTTTTCATATTGTCTTCAGTTTTGAGTCTGTCTTGACACATTTTCGACTTGCCCATTTTCTACCGAGTAGCAATGTATAGCCGTATTGAGTTATTGTCTTTATAGACTTGGTTGATGATGATGATTATATGATGATGATGATGATGATGATGATGATCCGGTTGTACTGAAGAACATTACTATAATCAACCCATTGAACTGTCAACAATTATAATATCCGGTTGTACTACAGAACATTACTATAATCAACCCATTGAACTGTCAACAAGTATAACACCCGGTTGTAGTAGAGAACATTACTATAATCAACACATTGAACTGTTAACAAGGATAACACTAGGTTGTACTACAGAACATTCCTATAATCAACCAATTTATCTGTCAACAAGTATAACACCCGGTTGTAGTAGAGAACATTACTATAATCAACACATTGAACTGTTAACAAGGATAACACTAGGTTGTACTACAGAACATTACTATATCAACCCATTGAACTGTCAACAAGTATAACACCCGGTTGTAGTAGAGAACATTACTATAATCAACACATTGAACTGTTAACAAGGATAACACTAGGTTGTACTACAGAACATTCCTATAATCAACCAATTTATCTGTCAACAAGTATAACACCCGGTTGTAGTAGAGAACATTACTATAATCAACACATTGAACTGTTAACAAGGATAACACTAGGTTGTACTACAGAACATTCCTATAATCAACCAATTTATCTGTCAACAAGTATAACACCCGGTTGTAGTAGAGAACATTACTATAATCAACATATTGAACTGTTAACAAGTATAACACTAGGTTGTACTACAGAACATTCCTATAATCAACCAATTTATCTGTCAACAAGTATAACACCCGGTTGTAGTAGAGAACATTACTATAATCAACACATTGAACTGTTAACAAGAATAACACCCGGTTGTACTACAGAACATTACTATAATGAACCCATTGAACTGTCAACAAGTATAACACCCGGTTGTAGTAGAGAACATTACTATAATCAACACATTGAACTGTTAACAAGAATAACACCCGGTTGTACTACAGAACATTACTATAATCAACCCATTGCC